TTTTTTCATTTTTCATTTCAGCTTTTGGAAGTAAAGTCTGATGATCCAGAATCCTATTAAAGGGGTTATGGTGAAATAGCTTATTACATGGAATCTTAACGTGATCTGTCTTCTATTCAAATATATATATATATATATATATATATATATATATATATATATATATATATATATATATTACAATAAACGTGCAATCAATTTACAAATACATGAATTATTCATACAAAACTAATGCAAAGGTTAATGATTTAAATGGCGAGACATAATAAAATAATTTGTTCATTACCATATTTGGTATAAATGCAAACACTTTAAAAAAAAAAAAAATTTTTTCAAACTCAGCGTTGCTTTGGCGCGTTCAAAAACCAATATCTCATTTTCAATAGCATTTCGGATACAAACACATATATTTTCGATGTCCTCTTATTACTAAGAGAAAAAAACAAGAACAACATCTATTATATACCTGAAGATGTCTGTAGGAACAGACGAAAGCTTGTAGTAAAAATAACAACTAATACGGCAGAAATTTATATAAACAAGGATCAATTCATTCATAACGGAGCTGGAGGTTTTTGTGTACTATTTGAATTGTTTGCGAGATGGATGTCTCGCCATTTAAATCATTAACCTTTGCATTAGTTTTGTGTGAATAATTCATGTATATATATATATATATATATATATATATATATATATTGAATAGATTTGTTGTAGTTACCTTGTGGTCACATGTTTAGTAGAGAATAAAATTTTAGGCTTTACGTGAAATACAGAATATTAAATTAAATCAAAAATCAAAATAATTAAGAATAAAGATGTGTATATATATATATATATATATATATATAAAGAAAGAACAGTAAGATATGTAATCCGGTGTTCTTATAGATATTTTTATTTTTATAAAATAGTGCTCAATGTAAATTTACATCGCATTAATATTATAAATTAATTGATTTAAAATATGATCCTCAAGCGAATTCGCTTGAGGATAAGATGGAACTAATGTCTTTATTTTAATTAGAAAATTAAATTCGGGGCTTTTAGCTTCCATTTTTGAAACATGGTTAGAACTGTATAGCGGAAAAACATATTTTAAATCAATTAATTTATAATATACATATATATATATATATATATATAGTGAGAGAGAGAGGGAGGTGGAAGGAGAGGGAAAATGTAATAGAAAGACTGAAAGCAGCCGCGCCTAAAACGTATAGACAACAAAAAAGTGTTGAATAAAAAAAGTGTTGAAAAGATATTTTTAAAAAAAGGCTAAAATGGCAGCCATCCTCGCGACCCGCAACCTCGCAAGATCACTTCAGGCAAGTGGAACTTACATAAGGAGACGGGTTGCGCTGTTGGATGGCATTTTAGTTTTTTCTTGCACACACACACACACACACACGTGTATATATATATATATATATATATATATATATATATAGGTAAACAGCCGAAAACTGGGTTCTCTAGCCTTGGATGCCAACTAGTCTACGCAAAGGACAACTCTGAATTCAAGCTTATATATATATATATATATATATATATATATATATATAGGTGGGGTGAAGAGGTTATAGTAGTTCCAACGAGAAAAAGTGTGTATATTAAAAAGTCTTTCTAGATTATTTTGTTTTTATAGTATGTTTTGTCCATGATTACTATAGCGCTGCCTTTATCTGCTTCTTTTATTATGTTATTATTTCTTCAGATATTTTCTAAGGCTAGTCTTTGTCTTTATGTAATGTTGTTGAATGGTTTGGATTTTTCTTGTAGGTCGAGGTTCCAGAGTTTTTCAAAAAATATATTTAACTCATTGGTATTATTATTTTTGTTTGGGAATAAATTGGAATTGTTTTTTACTAATAACTCATCTCTAACATTATCGTTATTGTTAAATATTTCTTTTAGTCTGAAATTGCGTTCAAATTCTCTAAGGTCTTTTTTTTAGGTCTGTTATATTGCTTTTCGGAGCAGGACAGAATTTTAGGCCTAATTTCAATAGGTTGATTTCGTCCTTTGTAAGTGTATATGTGGATAGGTTTATTATTTTGGGTTTTGTGTCACCTAAAATGGTCTTCTTGTTCGGACTGGGGATTCTAAAAAATAATGATTGTTTCTTTCCACATATTTTGGGGTTTCTAAGAGATAACCTCTCTCTGTACTACTCAAGTTTTTTAGCCACTTGTGGTGGTAAAGCAACGACTCAATTGATAATAGCAGATAGGAAACGCGACAAAATAGTGTCACACGTCCAACCTTCTCACGAGCAAAAAAAACTCAGTGCTCAGAAACGAAAACACACCTACTTTATACAGCCGAGGACCGACCATAATTTGCATGCGAATGACGAGACAACGAGATTTCGCGTTAACTGTCCGAGGCCGCCCGGTATAAAACATGGGCGCCGCCATTTTGGTTCTTATATTCTTGAGCAATCGGAGTTTGCACGACGCACAGATTCGCGGTCGTTTCCAAGGTATGCCATTTTCCCAATTTTCCCCACACTCCCCCCTGATCTCATGATCACAAACAGGGTAAGGAGGTGGCGATCGAAGGGGGACAACACAAGCTTCATCCTCATGCGTGCTCTCATCTGTGGTTTGAGTGTCGGTAAACACGATGTCAGCCGGGAGGCTGCTGATATCGGAGTCCCTGCCCTGCAGGTCTAACTCCAGGCAGATCGAATGCTCACTACTATCAGACTCGGAATTGCTTTCATCGCTCAGTAACGGTAGCGGTTGCATCACCGGTCGCAAGTCTTTAATGGGACGAGGCACCCCATCACCTAATCACCTCCGTAACACGTCCAGTGCCGTATTTTGTCGTACACTTCCCGCGTGGTTTTTTGACCCAAACCACATCTCCTTTTTTCAATCTTCCTCCGGTCACTTCTAGTTCAGGCAGCGGGTTGGCTTCGATGCCTTTCACACGGACATGATACTTGTGCAGTGCATCAGCCGGCGCTCTGGACGGTGAAACGTTGTCTTTCGGGCGACATTATACCAGTAAACCGCCTCCGATACTGTACAGCCCTTCCTGGCTGCGATGATCTTGACGGTTCTGTGGTTTCGCTCTACGATGCTGTTTCCACTCTGCGAGTAGGCACATCGAAACCGCAGATGCACGTCCCAATTGTCCGCAAATTTTTGAAGTCTTTACTGGTGAATGCAGTATCGTTGTCGGTCAGTATTTCCATGGGTGGGCCTCGCTCCAGGAAAACATTCTTCAACAGTCGAATGACGGTGCACGCATCTTGTCGGCGCAGCGGCCGCCATACCGCAAACCTAGAGGGATCGCAATCAATAAGCGTTAGAAAATTCTCACCATTGTAGTGAGTTATGTCCATCGCTAGTCTGCTCCAGTTGCTCTTCACGCTCAGTTCTCATCTTTCCCAGTGAACAGGTGCCGGATCGATCGACTGACAGGTTGTACAGGCCTTCACAACGGATTTAACGCTTTCTCTGGACACTTGCGGGTCGACTAACCGCCCGGATGTCCGTTTTGATGATGGGTATTGGCCAACTGGTCCTCGTCCAGTCGTCTCTCTACCACTGCACAGCTCTCGAGCGCCGGTTCTCCTCTCTTGAGCAGTTATAGCCACCTGTGCGGTACTCTGGTGAGGCGATACGCACGGTTCTGACAGGACTGTACGAGTGTCACATCTATGGTCAATCCATATTCTTTCACCAGCGATCGCATAATGCCCAGCCGTTGCCTAACCAGCACCTCACCAGCCGCCCATGTGTTCACCCGTGCCTTCCCGGTCAAGGTGTCGGAAATCCACCGGTGCATCACGCCGAATCAGTAACCAAGTGCAATGTTGTCGCCTCCCACAGGATTGTTAGATTGACTCCTTTAAGCGCCGCATCGAGTTCAGCTAAATTAATATCCCTGGCATCATTATTCGGACGCAGCCAACACGCATCTTCGATGACATTTCCGTTCGTTTCCAATGCCACTCCTGTCGCCACGGAACTCGCATCCATCCAGACTGTGATCTCGTCACCACCCATGCACCAGTCTCCTCCAACGGGATCCAGTTCCCACACTCTATTTAGCATCTCCGCTAGTATGCGACAGAGAGAGGGATCTTTGATGTTATCATCCCATCCAATGGTTGCTGCAGTTGTCAGGCGCTTGACGAATGCAACTGCCACCCTGAGCCACCCACACACGGGGAAATGTCCAACTAGTTTCCCACACAACGAAAATACTTCCGGAATCTGACTTCCTCGTTTCCATCGGAGGGTGCCATTCTCTTCCCAGACTTGCAAGCCAAGAACTCTTGCTCCATCTCTCAGTAACACCGGATCCTTGCACACCAAACCGTAATCCGAAAAGTGTTGTCGTACACGCGATGCAGAGACCAGACTTTCATTAATGAAAATATCATCAACGTATGCTGATGTGGCACTTTCAATTGTGCGGTCTTGCGATGTGATATCGTCTATAACAGATTTCATAATGAGTGGCGCTACATTTAGCCCAAATCCTAGCCGCGTAAGACAAAAGCGTTGGCCTTTGAAAATAACCGTTTGAAATGGCCACAGCGCTTCGTCGATGTGAATCTGAATCCAGAAGCGACACATTGATCCCCTGGCGCCGCCACGCTCTCAACTTATGTGCGCACACTTCTGCATCGGCAGTAAAAGCATCCACAAAGTCGTTCAATTCGCGGTAATCGAGTACCGGACGTACCTTCTGTTTCTGCTGCTGCACGACTGCCATCAAGGGAATCAGACCCTTTGGGGGTCCCAGTCTTTCCTGGGGGTACGGAATCAACCAGCCGTTCACAATCCACTGTTGAAGCTCTTTCTCGTATTTTCCTCTGATGCTATCGGGAACTTTGTACTCTGCGACCTTGTTGTGAAGCTGAACTGGTGGGTCTTTTGGAGCCCATTTCCACCTGGCGGTCTCCACCCTCTCGTCAGAATTGAAGGAGACGTCGAAATCCGGCTCACTAATGCAAAGGGCTGCACACATTTCTTCCTTTACCCAGTTCCACATTTCCGGCTGGCGTGATTATCATGCCTCCTAACGCTCGGATCACATCGATCCCAAGTAGCAGGTCGTAACCGAAGGGCCTTTGACGTGCCACCAAAACGTCGACCTTGGCATGATTTCCTCCGTCTGAGAGGACTGACACAGTCCCGACACCACAACAGGCCCGAATCGTCTGAATCTCGATTTGTTGACTGCTCCATGTCAAGCATCGATCCGCACTGACGATCGATCAGGAACATCCAGTGTCGACGAGCGCCAAACATCGTTTACCCTCAACGCTTACGTTGACAACAGGCAATGCCGCATTTACTGACCGAGAGGGCGCAAGGGTTGCGACAGCACCTTGTCCCCGGACTCGTTTCCCGAGCAATCCTGTGCTACATGACCTAACTCTTTGCAGCGATAGCAGCGTAGTCATGCTCGGTTCCGTCGGCTGCTCCCGCCTCCTACGTCACTTCGGCTCCGGCAGTCTCTAGAGAAATGGTTTGGTCCACTGCACTTGTAGCACTTTGGGCCCTCTCGCGGTGTCTCGGGCGTTCTCACGGCTGCCGCGACCTGTTCCGTGTCTTTCAAGATGTTTCGGGCCTTGGCTAGCAATTCGTCAATTCCCAGTGTGTCCAATCTTGAAGACGCTCGCAGGAGCCGACTGGTGTCGTCGGGAAGTCCAGCCAGGAAGGCGCATCCCAGTATGCGGTCCGTTGCTCCGCCAAACGGCACCGCCAGCCTTCGCAAATCGGCCAGGTAGACATCCACCGTCTCACCCGGCTCGAGCCGTCGTCCGACAAACTGTTTCCAAGCGATGAAGGGGTCTATTCCAAAGGCCGTATATAGGGCATTCTTGATCTCCTCTAAGTCAGCATCGTCCCCGAGTTGTTGATATACGGCGTAGGCTCCCTCGTGAGTCTCAGTGGGATGACCAGTGTGGGTTCTTTTATTTTGGACACCCTGCAAACACGTTCGGCCTTCTCAAACCATTCGATGACAGTCGGGCCCGTAGGGGAGCCGTCAAATTCTGGGATCAATTTTAGATCGAACTTGTCCATTGCCGAAATAGCTTGTGGTGGTAAAGCAACGACTCAATTGATAATAGCAGATAAGAAACGCGAGGGTAACCGACAAAATAGTGTCACACGTCCAACCTTCTCACGAGCAAAAAACTCAGTACCCAGAAACAAAAACGCGCCTGCTTTATACAGCCGAGGACCGACCATAATTTGCATGCGAATGACGAAACAACGAGATTTCGCGTTAACTGTCCGAGACCGCCCGGCATAAAACATGGGCGCCCGGCAAGTATATATATATATATGGGGGAGATGGGTGGTTTCGATGGGTATGTAAATATTCTCAGATCGAGTGTATCTGTAGAGGAGACAAAATGAATAAAAAAGAGCAAAAGTAAAAACTATTTTTAGTCGACGCGTTCCGTCTTCAGAGGGACTTGATCAAGGTGATAAAGTCCCTCAAAGGACGAAACACGTCGGCTAAGAATAATTTTTCCTGTTGTCTCTTTTTACTCGCAGATAGATAGATACATAGATAGATAGATAGATAGATAGATAACTTTATACCATAATATTGAATTACCTTTTAAAAAATTGATTTCACTTATTTTTAACATGAAATAAACGTCAAAAAATCTAATTAAATATGAATAGTTTTTTATAATGTTATAATTTTAGATTGATATTTCTTCGAATTCAATGAGACAATATAATTTATATTAAAAAAATATGTATTTATATCAGTCAATGAACGCTAATTTTGAATATTTGTTTTGATTACATTTATAGAGGGGAACAAGTATTTTTAGACGTGTATATTGAAAGTGAATATCCAAGTTTTCATCTGTAGAAAACTCCAGAAACTGACTGTAATATGTGTAGAAAATTTTGAATGCTATTTTAATTTGAAAATTTAGTTAGCGTATATAATAACCGTTTATAAAATAATAAAATATATATTCTATAATAATTAACACAATAATTCTTGTCTGTGTCCTGAAGAGTGAGAGATCACGAAATCCCGAGTCGACCTACGATATGCATTGTGAATTTTAATTACTTTACTTCGTCAGGAAAGAATTCCTGAATTTGTGCCTGACGATCGCTACACACGTGAAAATTTAGTAGCTAGCTAATTCTACTTAATATATCTATGAAGGTAAACCAAAAAGTAAAGGCAGTTTACATACAGCAACCTTTGTTCAAAACTGATGTATTTACACTTCATTTATCGGATACAAGTTGTATTGCACAACATCTCAAAACTCATTAATGTCCGGCTTCAAAATACAGGAAAATACTTGTTGACAACACAAATATACTACAACATGACAATAATAAAGAAATCTCTAAATTCTTAACACCCTCTATATCATTATCAAACAACGAACACTAAAAACAATTTATTCCAAGTGTAGCAGCAACGTGTTGAAGTGCATTTAACAAACATTTAATGCCATTTTGCAATACTAGCAAGCAAGCTCCCTTATGTTGGGATGCTAGTTTTATAAAAAAAAAATATTCTACGACGACTAAATTTAAAATAACTATCACAGAACGCGTTCACGCGTGTGTTTTTTTTTAAATCTTCACAAAGAAATGCAGATTTTATCAGAATTACAACAAGTTTGTTTTGTAATTTACCCCCATGAAGATGATCTTGGGGGATCTTGAAAGTACTTGGGTAGGAAAAAACTACGGCGCCTTCCTTGATGAATTTCATCTTGATGTTAAGATGAAAATCATGTTGATTAGACAACTGTAAAGGATCAGTATAAAATAAACATAATATATCTATATTATTCAATAAAACATGTTTGAATAAAGATATGTTTCCTAAATACACACACATATATATATATATATATATATATATATATATATATATATATATATATATATATATATATAATGTAAATCTATTTAAACTCGGTTGGTGAAAAATACCTTGATAGCACAATTTTCAGACAAATTGGCATCCGAGGGAAAAAATTTGTAAAAAAAAAAAGAAAGAACCAGAAACCTCCGAATAGTAAAAAGTGCTTAATACACTAAGTAGAGCAATAGTAGAATAAATAAATCTTAATGAGCCAGTTACTACCTACCTAGGTTTCACTACATGGGATTACAGGGTGAACAGGCTAAAGAGGAATTAACGAAGAACAAATTTATTGATAAAAACCTAAAATTAGCATAAGGCTAAAAAGACAAAATACGTGACTAAAAAAAATGCCCCAAACGTTTATTCTAATAACCAGGCTTTCCTATACCTGCATCTATTAAGGATTTCAGACCTCTGGTTTAATAAAATTTTTCGTTTGTTGAAGGCAGCATCCATACATAATATACAGTACTTGTTGCCGGCTTTATATTTACAACATTTTTTTTTAGTAATTCTCATTTTAGAATGGTGTCGTTCTATCCTGTTTAATACTCTAAACGTATTTAGATAAGCTAGTGTTATGTCTATACTTCTCATTCTTAAAGCTACTTGATTATAGTAGCACTTTTTAAAATTGCCTTCAGTAGATCCTATGGACACTTTACTGTTCTCGTTATTTGTGGTTGAATTATTTCTACTAATTTCCACATTATAGACGACACATTCTTGTTGGCACTTGCCTTTGAGTGGGCAGGTGTCTTTATTTCTACAGTTACATTTAGATTTTTTTCTATTCCATTTATTAATTAAACTAGCCATATTCAGCATACAGCTGTAATTTAGTTTAATGTAATTCCTATTGAAAATGTTATTCAATATGTTATTTTCTAATAATTTTAAAAAATATTTTGCCTATTGTGGTTTTAACGGCTAGATTATATGAAGGATTAAACCATAAAATATTCCTATCTTTATTCTTCCTTTTATTTTGCTTACTAGGAGGGAAATATGTCAATTTGGTTTTCTGCCCACTAATTTCCAAGGTGTTTTCATACTCTTTTTTATGCTGATTAAAAATATTAACACTCGAAGAATTCTTAGATAGTCTAAAACATGGGGGAATTGTTCTAAAATATGCTTCGGGTGGTTAGAACCTATTTTAATGTAAATACGTTGCTGATTATTTTTCCTAAAAGGAGAAATATTACCATTCCATAAATCTAAGATGATATCTAAATAGCTTGTTACTTTTAAGTTAGTTTCTATGTCTAGCTTAAATCCGAATTTACTGAACATCTGGTGCAGCTTTTTCCGGATTAAGTCACATTTTCTGGGGGTATATTTATCCACTATAATCAAACCATCGTCTCTATATAGACCATGGTTATATGAGTCAACAATCTCGCTTAAGTTATTTAGTAAAAAGCATCCTACTAATTCGCATAGTTCAGTTCCGTCGTATGTCCCCATGGGACTGTCAAAGTTACCGCTGTCTTCTTTCTTAATCCATGACATATTGTTGTGATGCAATAATGATTTACGACAGTGTATAATAAGTTCTATTTTACCATTCGATATGGACACATACTCTTTAGCTAATTTTAATGCTTCCTTGGCCGTTTTTTCGTTAATTGACAGATAAAATTCTCTTAAGTCGTACGTTATGAATGAGCAATTTTAGTTTTTTTATCATAGTTGTTAAACCATTTTATGCAGTCGTTAGTACTGTGCCTTTGGTTAATATTTAATGCTTTCTTTAAGGTGTCGCAAATTTCCTGTAAAATTATTTTGCTAATTCTTCCCATTTGTGTTTTAGTCGGATTGATTAGCTCACATTCGGGTTTATTATAAAAATTATGCTTATGGTCCTTTAATGTAATAGGCATTCTTTAATATTGATTTTTCAATTTTATTATCTATATTAAATTTTCTAGCCAATATGTCAGCTTACTTATTCAGTTTCCTCTATAGCGCTACTATAATTATATAAGTAGCTTCAAGAAAGAGAAGTATAGGTATAACACTTCTAAGTTTTCAGGGCCTTTCTTATAATGAACCTGGGAACAACATCAATTAAAAGATGGTTCCACACTCCTCAGAACATCCAATCTCCCGATTAAAGGTCTTGCTGCCGGATGTAGTTTATCGTCATACGCAGGAATAAACGACGAGTCAGGGGAAATAGTGGGTCACGTGATGGAATTTTTTGTTTTGTATTTGTTGTTTTTTTACTATTATCTCCATTTATCCGAAACAGATGGATTTTAGTAATATTATATTGATTTCTTCCTTTCATTTTATTTCCATTGCTTTTAATCGTAACATTCTACGATCTTATTTTTTTATACCGGGTCTCACCTATTTCAAAATTTCGTGGTAGAGCGTTACTGAATGTAAGATGGGGGAGGTAGAAGGAAGTGAAGATCATGAGAATAAGTAGGATAGATAGCGATTGACCCTTTACTTGAAGCGGTTACGACTGTAGAGTTCAGGGAAGCACCCACTCGGGAGTTTTTCCTTATTATGATTGAAATATGGAAGAAATGTGGGTGATAACGCTCCGTGGATGTAGCGGGTCATAGCTATAAAGGCCTGAACATGTGAATCTAAAGAGCGGGGCTCGTCTGAATGTTTGCCATGGCTATAGGGAAAGAAGCAATTTTCTTGCAACTTTATGAGTGTGTGGTAAGAGGCTGCAGAGTGGAAAATAAGTCATCCCTCACAAGACAGCGGAAACAATTTTGAAGTCTGTCAAGGCTGGTAAGTTAGGATTAACCGCATGTAAATCGCTGTTGTTCTCAGGTCCACCCTGACCCGGGTGGTAGCACCTGTTAGGGTCTCAGCTATGGGCAAATAGTGAACCCCACACACGATGAAAGTTTTAAAATAGATTTTTATAGTAAAAATACCAATAATACATATTTATAGTAAAATTACAAACAATACATTTTTAAAGCAGAATTACCAACAATACATTTTTATAGTAAAATGACTAACAATACATTTTTATAGTAAAATGAGAACAATACACTTTTATAGTAAAATGACTAACAATACATTTTTATAGTAAAATGACCAACAATACATTTTTATAGTAAAATGACCAACAATATATTTTTATAGTAAAATGACCAACAATACATTTTTATAGTAAAATGACCAACAATACATTTTTATAGTAAGATGAGAACAATACACTTTTATAGTAAAATGACTAACAATACATTTTTATAGTAAAATGACCAACAATATATTTTTATAGTAAAATGACCAACAATACATTTTTATAGTAAAATGACTAACAATACATTTTTATAGTAAAATGAGAACAATACATTTTATAGTAAAATAACCAACAATATATTTTATCTATAGATCAAGGCATACAGTTGCGTTTAAAATATATTTAGTTGAAGTTATAAAGCTGAGTTAAAAATTATTTAGATTTTGGCATTAAATAACCCATAAAGGTGTTGATATGCTGCAAAAAAAAAATCAACCAACATTTGTCTATGCTAAGGCTCCCGCCTCTCTCCCGTTATTCATCCACACAAACTCCTCCGGTAAGTGGCTCCCAGCCCTCCCTTAATTCTTTTGCCCTCAATATGCTCCCAGTGAGGGTTAAGTTTCTCAACCCCTCGTCCTTCACTATGTGTCAAAGGACTCACAAACATCTTTTCCTGCTTTGGAGTATAAGCGTTCTTTCCTGGTTGCTTACGCACTGTGTCTATGGAA